TTCGCTGAGTCGCGCCGGCTACATGACTAAGCAAACCACTCGCTTTATTTTCGGTTACTAGACCGCCTCCTTATCTAGCGACATTCAGCCTGTACTGTCAACCTGGTCTCCGTGATGCTGCTAATAGCCAGTAAGACTAGGACCCACCAGACACCTCTGATACATCACAGCAATCCACACGGTAGTGGTGGGGGATAAAGATTATTATTATGAGGGAGTGGAGGAGGAGGATGAGGAGGCTACTGTATCAATTATTTCCGAATGACAGTTCGAGAGGCAATAAGAGGGCATGTGAGGGAAACGAACCGCAGGTGCGCTCTTGCGATCAGCCTCGAGCTGTTCTAGAACTTCAGCGTCAAGAGCATCCTCGGGGTCGTCCTCATCATCGTCATCTTCTGAAGCACTCTGGACGGGCTCAGCTGAGGCACCCTCCGGCTTTTCTTTGGTACTGGGTGCTGTCTTGCGGCTACGGTCGGTACCGGTGCGTAAGCCGAGTTCGCTCTCCTCGTCGGCCGGGATAATGTCGAAGCTGTGAGAAGTGACCAAAAAGCAGGCAATTAGGGAGTCGGCAACTACGCAGGATTATGTCATTAAACAATACCAATGGTCAAAGGGAGAGAAAGAAGAATAATTAGAAAGTTTAACTACCATCTTCCAATCCGGTAAACCAGCAATACGCGCATAAATCTGAAAGCCGCAACCAGACTTTTAGAAAGACTAGCTTAAGCAGGGTCGCTAGACCAATGAGCATGCCATGGGGTGCTTGTCGTACTTTAAACCTTTCACCGCTTCTTAAGCAACACCTACTTCTTTATTTTTTAGGCTCACAGAGTCTGCGATTCTTCCCAATAGTTTTGACAAAAATTCCCCATCTAGGCGCAATTTCCTGAGGAGTCGACTTTATGGAAGCACGTGTTTAAAATAAAGGTAAGTTGGAGTTTGCAAAACATGAGCAGTTTCGACACCATTACAAATACTCGCTTCAAAGTACGGTAGTTGGTCTACGGTTAATAGGAATTCTGAAATATGATCCCGATTAGAAAGGATTGCTGAAGAGGGATTGTAATATCAAGATGTTTCAGTCATCACAGTAGGTCAGCTTCCCTTCAGTCGCCTGTAAGAGCTACACTCGATAAAAGTACCTACGTGAAATGTATGCATTTTTCCCACTATTCTTTTTTATGTTCTTATAAATTTACATGTTATAGAAAAAATGAAAAATGACGAATGACGTCCTCTTCAAATTTTATATCTGAAGAAAGGGTATTCCTCTGTTTAGTAAAGGTATGTAATTAATAGTTTCGGGACAGTGCAATTTTCATTCATAAAACATCATATCCCTCCATTTTATAAATGCCACTGATTAGCTCTGCAACAGGGTTCACATCTATTGGAAAATGTAATAGTCCTATGCGAAGTTGTCTTACTAACGCAGAAAAATGTACGACAAGCCCGAATATGCAACTTGCAGTTTGGATTCCAGAGTAATCGGGAATTTAAAAGTTTTTTTAAGACATAAAGGCACTTTTTCTTCACACAAAATGTTAAGATGTGATCTGCCACCAGATGAATACAAAAACAGTAGTTTGTGCGTTTTCTACAAAATACATTTTCATTTATTAGGACAATGAAATCAATGCTAAAATGTTATACTACATTAGAAGACATTCTTGGCCAAATTTAGTTCCTACAGACGGTCACAAGGAAGCTCGTTAAAAAGCTGGCATCGTATCGTGACTGAAATATGTTGGGATTATGGTGCGCGATAGTCAATATTACAACTCCCCTCAAGGGATCCCTTCAAATCGAAAAAAAAAGCATTTCAGATTTTCCATTAATATCTCATGAGAGACGCCAGCTACTGTAGGTACAGTCAACTAAAACCGTCCGCGAGGCATGCCAATCCTGCCAGATAGTTAGTGGGTGTCAGTATAAACATATACGCTATCAGCGTACTCTAAGATTTCAAACACTAAGCTGTATCCAGTATTTATTTCATACAGAGACAGCATACTGGCGGACTTACTTGTCAAGGTCAAAACGAGAGCTCGGTGTCTCCTTCTCCGTCGCCGCCTCTTCATCCTCCTCCGACTCGTCGGCAGCCAATGCCACCAACTTGGCCTTTTTCGCTGCCAAGGCGTCTTTCTCCTCGGCGGCGGCAGCTTCCTGCTCAGCCTTCTTCTGGACGCGTCGTTTTTTGGCTGTGCTGGTCCGCTTCTCCGTTGCCGGCACCGCAGCCGCCGTTTCCCCGGAGCTGGAGTCCGGCGGAAAGCTGCGGTTCAGCCAATTACACAGGGTCTTCAC